CCAAACCATGACATGGGATTTCACTTCAGCCAACTACACTGAAACAATTCTGGCTCATCTTTGGATGGCAAGAGCCCAAAGACGCGTGAGGCTGCAGAGGCTATTTTGACATCATTAGCAGAGTGGCTACTCTATTATCCCAGGAAAGCCATACACGCAACTGAGTATGTTTTCAACACTTCCGATGGCAGCAGGTGCTCAGAGCACACTTCCCAGCTATAATTCTTGCTCTAGGTCTGACTGGCCAGAGTCACCTGATTTTTCTTGTTTTTAAAGTCCGGTTATCAGGCTGCCGGCCACAATAACCCTGCAGGACTTTCATGTCTGAATCAGCCAAGAAGAAGGAGATCCATTTTGCAATAGGGAACTCTGATCGGCACATTTGTTTTGAACAGAGAGTCTTTAATTGCTCGGACACAACTATGGATCTGTAGCCATGCCATTGTTTGAAGCTGCTATGCCTGCTTATGTAGCATGTTTGCTTGGGTAGAAAAAAAGTTTAGATGTGAGAAATACAGCTGGAATATAGATCAGCTAGGTGGGAAAATGAAATACGAGTTAAATGATGATTTATGAGTTAAATAAAGTGATGAAAACTTTGTCTCTGCAGTTTCTGTCTCTCTGTTTCTCTGTCTCTCTCTGTCCCTCCCTGTCTGTCTCTCTCTCTCTCTTTCTCTCTCTCTCTCTCTCTCTCTCTCTCTCTCTCTCTCTCTCTCTCTCTCTGTCTCCGTGTGTGTGTGTGTGTGTGTGTGTGTGTGTAGGGGAGGGGTGGGTGGGTGTGTGTACAAAAACATTTAACAATTTCAGATGCCCCAGATAGCCTGGTGTGCCTGGGAGAATTAATCACTGCCCTCATAAACCTTGGCTCATTTAGAAATCAGGCTGGGTTTCCGACAAGAGAGTGTCCTCAGTATTGTGACTACTGACACGGGAGTGTCCCAGTGTCCAGGTCATGGATCTCTCTTCTGTAGTCTACATTAATTCATAACTGAGCCATACTTAATGATTAATGCTTGAAAAAGTAAGCCAAGACTTAGCGTGTTAAAGTAACAACCATTATAATATCACAATTTAATTGGACAACATTTATGGAGTGTTTTATAAAACTAATAGAGCCATGGCATTTATGGTGATCTTTCAATCATTTTATATGATTTTTGGTTGCACTGTCTTTTTCTCATGAGGCACAATCTTACAGTTTTAAGTTTTAAAATACATTCCATATTAGTTTGGATCATAGCAGGAGAAATAAAATGACCACATCGATTTTTATTGGGATTAGCTATGAATTTCTAGGTTTTCCTCCTGTCACTTTTTGAGCAGTAACTAACAGACTAACATTTGTATATATTCCACCTACGCATTTTGAAGACTCATGATCCGCACATACCCATATTACCATCACCACAATCAAAGCAACAAAGTTAGTAGACATGGACATCTCCTACATAATTGTATCCTTTTGCCTATGTTTATTCATGTTTTGGTGGCATGAATAGTTGAGGGAATGTCTGGTCTTCTACCAAACTCCTATATGCACAATATCATACATTAATCTCTATAACTTATATATCTTGTAAAATCAAAACTTTGTCCACGTCTGATAACTTCATTCAATTTTTTGGTTTATTTATTTTTGACAGGGTCTTAGTAAGTGGCCCAGAATGGCCTAGAACTCTCAGTGTAGACCAGGTCTACATGATAGAGAGCTCTGCCTGCCTCTACTTCCCGAGTGTCGGGATTAAAGGCATTTGCTACCATGCTTGGCTTTTGCTTCTTTTTGTACGTCATTAAATACACAATGAAAAATGATGTTCCAGATGGCTTGCTCTTTTGCAATTTAAAGCAAAACACAATGATTATGAAATTAATGGCAACATACATTTCTATAATTGTGTTTACTATTAATATTCTTATTCCCACTTACGGAATATGTCTTACATTTTTCATCATACTGTTAAATACAACGTGGCACTCATTTGTCTTCGACAAAACCCAGTGAGCATAAAAACTCAATTGCTTAAGCTTTCTGTTTAAGTAGAAGAACAATTTTGTTAGCCTTGTCACAACTAAATGTATTCTGGAGTCAATGATTCCAAATGCTATCATATTTCTCTTTCAAGATTAAACCCATACCTGAAATACAGAATGCTGCCCCAGTGTCTTAGACCATTAGGAAGCAGCTTCCTTCCCAAGCCTGCTTGTCTTTTCCGGATTAGAGGTGACCCTTAGCATTTCCATCTATGAGACGGAAGCAGCTCTGGAAGCATACTTAGCAGAGGCCCCTGTGACCTACCACTTAGACGCAAGCCACCTGGGGAGCCCTAGGCCAACAAACTCCAGCTTCCAAGCTTCCAGATCACTACATATGCACACAGGGAAAGTTGGTAAGAATTCAGTTTCACAATGTTTTAACTTTCCAAGGTATTTGAGAGGATCAACAAAGTTCTATTAGACACTGGATTGCTGTGCTAATTAGCTCCAAAGTCATTTCCTTGAGGATTTTCCCACATCACTAACATTCTCTCACTTATTTCATTATTCTGGCCTTCAGAAGGCTTTCAGAAACCTAAAATGTCACTTGTGGGAATAAAAGAACTAGGATTAGGGTCCTCTATCAAAGAAAGGGGTAGACATACGTTATATTGCATGGGCATTGTCATAAATAAGAACCCTTTGTGTAGTGAGGCTCATGGATGCACCTCAGAAAGACACTGAAAACAATTGTAATGAAAAACAAAGATGTAGCAGTGCCCAAAAAACTGTCAAACTCTCTTGTTTTAACTTTACATCTAGGGTTTTAAGAGTGTGGCATATTGATTATTTTCCCTTATACTATATAACTATGTCCTTTCATAAAATTTTATTTGTTTTCTTGGTTTTTTGTGTGTTTTGGTGGTGGCCAAGATTGATCCCACGGTCTTTCACAACTAGGCATGAACTTGTGCTGGTTTGAATGACTAATGCCCTGCAGGCTCACATATTGGACTGTTTGGACCCCAGCTGATGGCACTGACTGGGAAGGTTATGGAGCACTGTGGCCGGGATGAAGAAAGAGCATCCATGATGCCAGGCTTCGGGAGTTCACACTCTCACCACTACTCCAGTTTGCCTTCAGCTTTGTGCTTTACAGTCCACGCTATTAGCCCTTAGCTTCCTGCTCCTGCCTCGAGGCTTGCTGCTTGCTGCCGTGCCTCCCCAGCTAAAAATGGAATTCTAATATAAAAGCAAAGACACACCAGAGTCTAAAAAAAAAAAAAGCCCAAGTCTCTTGCTTCACCCCAGGACAGATTCACCCCTTCTGGAAGCTTATGTGAAAATAAACCCTTCCACGCATTGTTTTAAGGCATTCTATCTACCGCAGCAACAGAGATCTAATGATGGAGCCGCATTTCTCCATACCACTCCCTGTGGGCACAGGATCTCGCCAACTTCACCAGGCTGGCCTTCAATTTTCTCTCTAGCCAGGCAGGCTTTGTATTTATTATGACTCTCCTGCCTCAGTCTCCTGAGAAGTTGGTGTTATGTGCCACCAGAAGCAGCGAGAAGTAACGTGGAACAGCAAAATCAATGCTGCTCATAAAATAAGTTTGATATCACCAACTTTAAAATAAGGTAATATCATCAAAAAGCTTGAGAACGTTTAGATTGCAATGTTTGATGCTGATTTCAGAGTACACTAAAAAACACAACCACAAGCAGATGTGTGCATATATGATTATGTGTACACATTAACTTAATTAACACATACATATGTCTGTGTTTAACTTCACATCAGTGGACTGTACACGGAAATCAACAAAAGGTCCATTAATATAGGTGTCCCAAACTTGTTTATTTTTTCTAATTTAATTGCCCAATTTGAGGGAGGGAATAAGTACATCTATAAACACTCTTTCTGTAAAGCATTGTGGAAGACAGTATAAATAGAAAAATCTAGATTTCATTGAAACATGTAAATCAGACATACTAGAAAACATGAATGGAAAGTTACAAGCCTAAGTCAGCTCAATACATTATTGACTCCAACTCATGGAGGAGACAAAAGAAATTATATTTGTATTGATGTGTGAATCTGCTTCCATTCTTGGTAGCCCGTAATATATGCAACTCGCTAGCTCTAGCTATCCTTGTTACACATTACCATATTATTCAAATGTATCAATCATTTATATGTAAATACACAGGATGAATGGCTTCTTCAGGAGACAACAATTTTCGAATGATAACAGACACAGGCAGACATTAGGAAGATATAAAATGCCTCAAATATTCATTCTTTTATACTTTTAAGGAAAGATGAGAATTATTTAAATAAAACCCTAATTATAAAAAAGAGACCTTAATACAGTCAAAATCCCAGTAGCTGTTCTTCACAATAAAAAGTCGGCACCGGTGTCATTTGTATCTTATAAATTACATGCTCTCAGATCCATCTGTGAAGGCTGGGATGCTAATTATCATGGTTACATTTCATGATTCCACAGCTAAAGGCTGAGACGGCGCTACACAAACACCATATGTTTTAGTGAGGGAAATGAAGAAAGATTAATTACCAGTTGAAGTTCAGGTCTTCCCGCAGTGACACCCTCAACACAAGAAGATTGTTACATGGTATGCTAAATAAATTGGAAGCTTTAGTTAATAGCTGAAATAACTAAGGAGGAAAGACTTGAAACCTAAATTTCAAGTATCTGGATCCATCCCCAACTCCTGCCAATATATCTCTATATATTTACATACAGATATAGATATATATCTTAAGGATGCTTTTGTGAAACTACGTTACAAATTCCAAGGAAAATGCAACTTGACAATTTTCTGGACCTTCTTTTAAGAGACATACTCAAAAATCTCTCACGGGGCCATGATTTTACGCAAAACAATGTCACATGTACTCAGAAAATCCACTCATCTCAGGATGGCCATTAAAACATCAAACGCTATCACTGTAAGATTTTGATTCGTACTTAGCTAGACGGCACTCTGATTCCACTTACCACGTACTCAAAGACAAGCGTCAGCGTCTCCTTGGTGTGGATGATGTCATGAAGCAACACGATGTTTGCGTGCTTCAAGCCTTTCAACAGCGACGCTGAAAGACAAAGTGGGCAGAGAAACAAGTGACCATTAGTCAGCCATGTCACGTTACCGGTGCGCTCACTGCCAGATGAGACCCATCCGTTTCCCATGCTCTACGCCCATAGGACAGCTATCGAGAGGGCAATGTGAATGAAATTAACAACTAAAATTGTGGCGTGATGAAATTATCTTTTAAGTTCTGTAGTTGTTTTATTTTTTTTTTTGCTTCTTATTTTTTTTACATTTATTTACTTTGTGTGTTTGTTAATGTCCTAACTTAGGTTGTGCTGTCATCCTGACAGCCCACGGTTATCTGAGGGTGTCTCATTTAGGAGGCTACTTCAGTCAAACTGGAGTGTGCGAATGTCTATGGAGCATTTTCTTGACTGCTAACTGACACGGGAGGGGCCGGCCTGTGGCTAGCGGCACCATTCCTTACGCAAGTGTAGCTGGGCTCGGTAGAAAAGCCATGAGAGCGGAAGGCAGGGACAGGACGGTAAGCCCAGCATTTCTCCACCATGTCTTCTTCACGTTCCTAGCTTGCAGGGGTTTCTGCTCTGGTTTCTGTCTGTTATTGACTATTGCCCATACGATGTAAGGAACAGAATGTGCTTTGGGGCAGAGTGCTCGTCACAGCAATGGAAGGCAAGCTAGTGTGCATGCACCTGTGCACATGCGCGTATGCGGAGGTCAGAGGTCTTCTTGCAGGAGTCAGTACTCTTCCCCGCCTGTTGCCAGGCTGGATGGCAGGCGCCTTCTATCTACTGCACCATCTCGGCAGCCCTGCTTCAAGCTCCGAAGTGCTGATGCTCACTGCGTATGCCCTTAGATTCTTTGTGAACTGACCCTTTTATGGCTGTGTATCGTTTGGTTGCTGGAAGTATCTGATGCTCTGCCCTTAACCTTGTGTGGCCCGTCCAGCTTGAATGAAATTGCTGACATGGTGGATCTTTTATGGTCCTTTTCCGTCCGTCTTACCAATTCTGGCATACTGAGTAAAGGTTTACCCACAGCATATGTTTTTAAATGCCATCCTGCCGATGTCTGATTTTCACTTGATGGGGTTGGGCCACTTACATTAACTGTAGATATTAAATGTATGGTTGCCTGCCATTTACATTTCCCCTGAACACCCTGCAATTTAGTTTTCATTTATTTATTTATTTATTTTAATCTTCTATGTTTCTCGGGAGTTCAACTAACACACACTTTACTTCATTTTCTCCTTTCTTCTTCCTCGCTTTCTGCTGAGCTTGGTATTTTCAATCCAACAAGGCTTTCTGTTTGTTTCGTATATTCAAAGGGCTAAAGAAAAAATATTTAATTCCTATCACAGTCTTCTGTATGGTTTTCTTTAGTTTTATGGTGGGTTTCTGGTGTGACCCATTAGATAAAGTGCACAGATTTTTTTCTCTTCTTGTGTTTTAAGACGCAGACTCCTTTGTTCTTCTCTTGCTCACTAACTGGACTGGAGGCCTTGTTTGAGAGTCCCCTCTCTCGACACTTTTATCCCCCTTTATACAACTGGTGTCGCGAGAGGTGAGTGTCCTCTTCCATCCCGCATGATCTTTCTTGTTTCCCTGTCCTTCCTTCTTTGTTTTCAGCATCATTGGAGTGGACTGGCCTTTCTTTAGACGGCCTCAGCTCCACAGAGGTGACGCTTTGCTGGGCCAGCACTCCTCTCTGTAAACAGTGCTGCCGTGCACACTGACTCTAGCTTCCTTCTTCTCCAGCATTATCCTGAGCTTCAAAAAAACCCAGTATCTCTGTCCCTTTTCAGTTTCTTATCCTTCTCTTCGGCCTACCCAGCACTGGTCTCTGTACCCGCAAGCTTGCTATGGTTTTCTATTGATCCTGAAGGCACGAATCACCTGTGCTTTAGGGGAGTGTCTGTGCGATGAATCAAGAGCAGGCTACCAACCTCCTGCTCCACAACACAAAGGACATTTCTTCTATTGGAGCATCCCTATTGTACACAAGGCAGCACATGGAAGGAACTCACATTGACTAGCTGCCATTCATTTCTAGGAGCGGTGTACACTCAACTTCTGGGCTATGTCTCTAGCCCTGATTCCTACATTCTCTCATGGACTTAGAAACATGTAAAAATAAGTGCAATATTTAGATTTAACAAGCAATGATTTGTAAATATATTGATGATTTTGACCTTGTAGTTCCTTTAAAAATTTGTGAATAAGGCCATAGTCTGAAATTATAAGAAATTCAAATATATCATTATTGTTCATCCTAGTAATTTATAATCTGTCTTTTAATTATTTAACTCTCTCGTCAGCTTTGAACCATTAAAGCCCTAATACATTGCTAGGACTCAGCTATTAATTTGTAGAACAAATACACATTTGCTGGTTGTCTTCTGCAGCTTTTTTTTTTTTTCTGAGTTTTGAAGCTGACTTCAGGAGAGGCTTTTAACTTGGATCACAGCAGGGTATTTGGAATTGATGGCCAGAACAGAGCCTAACACCTACTATTCCACACAGGAGGACCTCCAAAGGAAACAAACGAAGGACCTACGGAAATCACAATGAACCAAAGGACCCTGGCTGTGTGAGGCAGGTTTCTGGAATATATTATATCCCATTGTTTGTAATCTTGTCCAATTTCATTTTTCAGTGCTCTCCTATGCTGTCAAGGTTAGTGATGACCCATCTGGACGGAGAAAACTCTGAAACAGAACTGAGGCTTTGACTGCATCAGGAATCCCATGCTCACCCGACCTCTGGCTTGGCTTGTTCATCCCCACGTCTCCCATTATTGCCTTTCTTTTACCACTTCTTCCTCCAAAAGCCTTTCTTATTTCTCAAAATAATATCTTCACACCCACTATGTATTACGTACTGTGCTTTCCTCACGATTTCAGCAACAACAAATGCCTGCTAATTCTCATCTGGGGTAAAGCTTTTATTTTCCTTGAAAAACTCTAATGTCACATAAATAAATATTTCTGTCATTTGACCGGTGTCATAGGATGTTTAAAAGCCTCCAAACACCTTTTGAACAGGTCTCCATTTTGACAGTGTGTACAGGCCAGATTATGTTTGCGTCTGCTTTCTCAGCACACTGGCAGCGAAGTAAGTATCACTATTTGAAAGTGCTCTTTTTGAGATTAACGTAATGAATCTATAACTGGGAAGGGACAGAGCCACAATTTCCAAAGGTGATGACAGAAAAATGGCATCTGACGGTGGTGACAGTGGAAAACGGCCAGCAATCTACCAACACGAGGACAGGTGAGAGACACGACCCGCTTTGTGGCTGCCAAGCCAGCAGCCTCTGTTGCAGCAGGTGCCCGATGCTGTAGTTCCGGCTGCCATCAAGGCAAATAAGTCTCACGGGTGCCAAGCCAATCCAACGCACCAGTGAGTTCTGGAGCCAGGCTCTCCTTCTCCACAACGAACAGTCAAAATAACACCCTTGTAGACTTAACTATATCATAAGTATACCATGTGTTATTTTCTCAGTTTGCAAACAAATCAAATCCTGCAACATTTGCACTGGTTACTCAGTAGACTTCCTTTCTGCACAAAGCTTAATCAACAATCCAGCAACACTTCAAAATCCGTTTACCAGGGAGGTTTGAAATGACATCATTGTGTATGATACAAAATGTTGAATTAGGATTGAAGGTGAAAATCATAGTTTTGGGGCTCTGATGTCACAACAATATGACGGAAAGTCTAAAAGGTAACTGTGGGATGCAGGGAACTCCACCATCGAGGTGCCAACTTCACACATAGCATCAATCAGTCACACTGGGGACCTCCCACACTGAGAACACAGATTGAAAGGGGGTGAATTTTATCTAAAATTCAATCTTATCATGATAAAAAGAGAATCTGAACCAATACATGAAATTAAAGTAGGTAGGTTTGATTAAATCTCCAGTGTAACTGATAAAAACTGTTTATAACGAGGTAAGGAACCCATCTTTAGAATATGAAAATGTCTGCTTCTCCTCAGGAAGAAAAGACTGAAGACACAAAACACATCTCTGTAACTTCAGCATTGGAAAAGAAATAGGACATTTCCCATTTCCTGTCATCTTTTCTGTGTTCTTACCAGTGGTACCTGATTTTTCCCCAAAATAATAAATATCGATAAACCCTATCTCATTCTACAAAGAACAGATAAAAAATTTTTTTCAGCTTGCACTCCGAAACTCATGTTTTTTTTACTATAAACAGTAACAACTTTCAACTGAGAACTCCTATCTTACTTGCTGATGGATTCTGACTATTTTCTAAATTAAGATACTGAGAATGGGAAAATCCTAAGGATGAACTGGAGGAGTCGAGGGGGAAGAGATGACTCATTGTTTTCTTGTGTCTGTGGTGGGGACTTGGTTTACACGGAATGAGAGCAAGCATGTACCCGAAGACTGATGGATGGCTCCTGACACTCTGCCCGCATTTTATAACACGGGCTGCCTACCTGGATACAAGCTTGAAAAATAATTACACATGCCACAGTTCCCCTCATTTCTGGTTCTTCCCTTAGTGATATCCAATATTACACAGTATTACACAAATACATATTACATAATAAATACACAACAAGAAAGAGAGAAAGAACCTCAGGCTAATAAAAAGTATGATTATAGCTTCAAACTTATATTCGTCTTTTATGTGTGTGTGTGGGGGTGTGTGTTTGTGTACCAGTTTACACGATGTGCATGCATATGTGTGTGGAGACCAAAGGTCAACACTGTGTGTCTTCCTTGGTTCTCCTTATTTTTTGAGGCAGGGTCTCTCACTGAACCAGGAATTTGCCATTTTAGTCAGATTGGCTGGACAGCCTCAGATACCCTTCTGTCTCTGTGCACTGGGACTACCGGCACACTAAATTGCTAGATTTTCTTCCTTCCTTCCTTCTTCTCTTTCTTTCTTTCTTTCTTTCTTTCATTCTAATAGGCTCTGGGGGAATTTGACTCAACGCTTCGAGTAAGTCGTCTCCCCAGGCTGCTCTTTGCAGTTTCTATATACATACTCCCTGAGT